AAGCATATTTATTATTTTGGTTTTCTTTTCTTTTTTTATTCCCAATAAGGGAAATGGAGGGAGAAAAAGTAGATTTATATTCATTGAAAAATAAATTTCAAAAAAGAAACGTAAATAAATGACTTGCCTAGATAATCCTAAATAGTATTTTAAAGACAAGCTGGAAGGTTAAAGCTCTTTTACACTGAATGCCCATTTGAGATGAGGGCATATCTCAAAACACAAGTTATTTTTAAAATTGGAAATAAGATTAACTGGAAAATGTTAGGCTACCATAGCCTATAATCACAGTCATCAGTTCCAATCTCAGACTAAAAAAAAGTATATGCTATATTAATGAATAAATCAGTGACACTGCTGTAACCAGAGTATTTGTGCTCCTAGCCTAGTAATTTACTATTGATCAATTAATAAACTTAATTTAAATTAAGTGCCTTCTATATGCCAAGCACTCTGCTTGGGGAAAATGGGGAAAATAAAGTCATGGGGAAAATAAAGACAAGCAAAATAGTCCTCTTAACAGTCCACTTCAACAGAAGTGAAATATACTTAAACTCCTAATCTTCAAAGAAAAAGCAATCATAATTTTAACTTTCTAAATATCACCTAGAAATCAAGTTATAACATAATTTATTTCTTGAAATTAGAGAAATAAGGAAAAATAGGTACTAAGAAACCCTTCTAAATGAATACACAAAACAGAATAGGTCTCAACTTAAGAACTGAAGCTGACAATAAATGGTTTGTACTACCAGTACGTATGCACCCAAATATCTAAAATCATTAGTTGAGAACGACATTAAAGTAAGTCAAATAAATTTCCTTTTCAATCCGTTTTTTTAATTGAAGAAGTTATTCCAAATTTTAAAAAATGTTAACTGCTGATTCTATACAAAGAGCATGCATAAATATTCTTAAAACTGCAGACATCTATGTGTACAGCTTTGTTTCTGCAGGGTCGTAACATCTATGATTCATTATACTTTTATTAATTATTCACAATGAAATGTCCTCAGTAAAAATGGCCAAGTCCAAAGAAAAACAGCAGAAATTGATTTTTTAAAAGATAAAGCAAAAAACCCCACACAAATAATGACTTGTGCAACTATCACATGCTTTAGTAGCATGACAACAACCCAAAACTGCTCTGAAAGAGCTCAGCAATGCACCTTTCTTTCCATCTAACTGCAGGTTATAACAGCTTGCAGTCTTTACGAGATCCCTGCTCCTACCCCACCAATCCACACATGAAAACTATATGTAAAAATAAATCAGGTACTGAAAGACATAAATAAACAGCTTGGAAAGAACTCAGCACAGCAACAACTCCTTTGCCTTTTCAGATGTTCTGCAGAACCCAATTCACCATCTCTCTTCACACACAAGTCTGAAATTTCTTTTGCTTAGGATTTGTTTTTTGTAAGATGGCTTACACCTGTGTCAACCATTTCTAAAACTATGTAAATAAGGGAGTATATTTGGGGAGAAGGAAAATAGGAGAGAGAAGCACCTGAATTTAACTTGCTATATAGGAATAATATATCAACTTTACATTGTAAGGCTTTTACTTCAGTATTATGTTAATTTAGGAGTCATAAAAAATCCTTCAGTCTCCTTAAGCAAAGTAGGCAAGAATTCGCTATCACAGATGCAATCTTCCACCGTAAAGTTGATGTCAAATTTAACATGTTTCCATAGTAACAAAAAAAGCAGTCAATTGCACATGATAGTGAATGGAGAAGAGGAAGGGAATGTGGGAAAGACCTGTACCTTCCTTCATGATGAAGCGTTGATCAAACATGTTCCTCCTTATTCTTCCTTTCTCATTTCTCCGTCTATCTTCTAGGTGCCTCTCCATTCAATCAGATAAGAAAATTTTAAAAGTGTCTAAATCAGGAGAAGCTAGGTGGCGCGGTAGATAGAGCACTGGCCTTAGAATCAGGAGGACCTGAGCTCAAATCCTACTTCAGACATGTAACACTCACAAGCTGTGTGACCCTGGGCAAGTCACTTAACCTCAACTGCCTCACTCCCCCCCAAAAAGCATCTAAATAAAACTAATCTAAACAATATTTTTGATGATGTCAACCTCCTCTCCCAGTCAACTGCCTATGAGCTAAGTGCAAACCACTGGGGGAGGGGGGTGTCCAAGCAGCAGGACTGTGAGATGCCAGGCTTCAGTCTTCCATTCCTCCTTTGAAGCCTTACTGTTGCTTCAGAGGCAGCTATGCTACAGGCTCCTGAATCAAAGAATGAGAGTTGGAAGGTATTTCTGGGGCTCTCTGTCTCTCTCTCACCCTACAAACACCTGAGTGATGAGGGTGAGTGAAAAGTTCCCTGACATCATGCGCTCCCTGTGTTCTACTGCCTCTGTCCCATCTGAGTACTCTAGAGGCTGCATTTTTTGGGCCTGGAGAACCACTGGGTCACTATCTCGTTACTTCTAGTTCACAGACAACCACAAGCTGCAAAGGGACTTAGAAAACCACAAATTAACATTATCTATGCTGTTTGGTATTTTGATCTTGTTAAACATTTCCCAATTACATTTGGTGTGGGGAGGTACAGGCCTTCAGCCTGACCCCTCTGGTATACAATGCACTTACAATTCAACATCTAGAAGTCAGGCACAGTCCAGATCTCAATATATTGTAGTAATTACATTTGAATGCCTTTTATACAAGAACTCTTAAGTTCAGTGGCATTCCCCTACTGCCAGCAGCACTACCACACACCACACCAGTCCTTGAGGAACCACTTGTGAAGGAGCCATTCCAGAAATACAGCTTTAAGATGATCTTTGGCACTAGGAACTCCTTGTGAAGAAACTTAAAATTAAATATAGAAGAAATAAAAAACTTCAATGCAGATCATCACCTGCCTTACCAACTTGCAGTCTTAGAGATCTGTCTAGGGCACTGCGGGCTGAAGTGATTTTGCCCAGGGTTTCACGGCCAGTATGAATCAGAGCAGCAACTCAATCACAAGTCTTTCTGACTCCCAGAGTCAACTTTCTGTCCACTATATCTTTTCCACGAAACACAAATCAACAACCTACATGAGAGTCCGATTATACACTTTTGTTACTAACATAATTTTAGAAACTAAGTAATGGTTTTTTAAAGTGATCCATGGCTAAATAAGCCATTCTTTAAATGGGATGATTATTAAGCAAGTTAGAAAAAAATGACAACGGCTTACATCAGACATTTTAAAAATACAAAATGATGAAATGTCTTTTTAGTATATTCTTGACATGGATTCTGGACCTAAGAAACTTAAAGAAGCAGTGATGAAAACAAAAATTATGGACAAATTAAAAACTACCCACTGACTGTAAGGTAAACGTCATCAGTATTTTATTCTCATTTATTATTTGGTAAAACTCTTATTCCCAAGCAAGTTACTTATTTTCTAATTCAGTGGACACCTATTATGTACTAGGCACAGATACTGAAAGACGGGGGAAAAGATAGTGTCTGATTTATAGAACTTAAAAATTGTGTTAACAAACAGCCCTTTAGACATGGAAAGGTTTTCAAGCCCCTTCCTTTTTCAGATGAAAAAAACAAAAAAACAAACAAACAGACATAGACTAAGCCTAAATGACTTGCCTGAGATGAGAAACCAGGGCTCCTCACTTCTGAAGCTATATCCCATTATTATTCTAAAAAATCTCTAAAACTAAAACATCATGCACATTTGGATAGCTTTAACACCACCAGCTTTATAATAGTCACTCAAAAAACAAATTTACTCATGATTCACCACCAGAAATAAAAGTAACCCACAACTCTTCACCCACAATGTACTAAGTAATAATGACAATATCTATCATAGGACCAAAATTACTACTGTATTCAAGTTAACCAAAAGCTTGGTTCCCTTCTTTTGTGATTTAGTCTTAAACATAAACATAATGTTCACTGAAAAGTCAGACTCAGTAAAACAAAGGAGAAATATGCAACACAGTCAGTTATCCCATACCTTAGCCATTGTGCTTTGTATGTATGGGGAACTGGTAACATGCTTCCTAATAGTAGTTTAAGACTATATATCTAAACATATTTTGGGCGATATGACCAACACAGGAGAAATGTTTTGTTAGATTATGCATATTTGTTAGGAGGGTTTTGGTTTTCTTTCTTTTTTGGGGGGAGGGTGGGTGAAATTATTTTTTGATAACTGAAAAAATAAAATCTAATTTTAACAAATACTATATATCTCAAGCATTATGACCTTGAAGAATGCACTAATCCTTGTCAATGCATCAAATAAAACTGTCCAGAAAATAACAGCACTCACAATTACGCAAATTTATAACACTGATCCACTGATATTTAATAAGGTAACCTAAGAGTTTAGAATCTGAAACTGATGGACATGCTTTTCCAAAAAAGCAATTGTTTAATGGAAAATTAATTTTAAAACAATGTATTCATTAAATACCCCAAAGCATACTAATCCACATACTCTACAATTTTTACCCCCAAATGAGATACAAATAAAAAGATTTATCCGGTTAAAGACAAAAAAATTTTATACAGAATTTTTACATTTACTCAAGTGAGGAAAATGTTTCTCACTAAGTGAGGCAAAAGACCCACTTAATTATAGGAGAAATTCAACAAATAATTTTGCCACACCACACCATTAGATCAGAAAAGAAAACCAAAAGGACAGAATCTCACTTCTTCTAATATAAAGCCTTCATATCACAAGATACAGTAATCTTAGTTTTATTAACATTTACCTATCTCGTAAGACAAACAAAACTAAACCGTAGAATGTCATGACATGGAAAATCTGCAACTAAGTAAATCAAAACAACATATATGATATGGTGCTATTTATTGGATGCTATTTATTGGATAAGAAGCAACAAGAACACTGGAAGAACTCAACACAACTAGTATATTAAGAAAAATATATTTCTTAACATATCCAGGAATAAATCTCTTATCCATGTTTTTCATCACTATCTTTCACTTCAAGCTCACCTGTTTAGTTGACTTTTTTGTGCCATTAAAAATCTTCCAAGCTAGTCCATTGCCACCACTGGCAACATGTCGACCAACATCAAATTCCCTGGTGACAGGATTTCCCATTACCGCACTGGTGACATCAGCTGTTACTTTTGTAACCGTACTCTTCAACTTATTCAGCATGGACTCCATGGCTGCAATGGTATGCAATTCTATTTACCTATAGGTATAAGAGAAAAAAAACTTCTTTGAAAATTTCACCTATGTACAAAAGAATTATTAAAATTTTTAATTCTCATAGATTAACCTTGATGAAAAAAGTTCAACACCTAAGCAAAGGTTTTACTTCATTCAAAATACATACTGCATTTATTTTAAAACTACAGAGAAGTTTGATAACAAGAAAAAGAAATCAAACTCATATGTCCTTGGTAAGTAAAAACCTGGAAAATCAATTTCCTAAATTTTAATTGTAATCAAGATAGTACAGAAAAGTCATGGAAAGAAAGCTATGTGGTCAAATGATGCGAACAAATATTTCTCAAGAGACAAACTATCAGCAATCATATGAAAAAAATCCTCCAAATGACTAAGAGAAATGTAAATCAAAACAACTCAGAGGTTTTACTTCATATCTACCAAACCGACAAAGATGAAAAATGATAGAAATAGTTGATGCTGGAGGAACAGTAGAAAAATAGGCACACCAATACACTGGTACTACAGCTGTGAATTGGTTCAACTCTTCTGGGAGATGATTTGAAATCATGCTACAGAAGTCACTAAACTGTTCAAATTTTTTAATATAAAAATTTCTCTACTGGGCATATTATTTCAATCAAAGGCTAAGAAATATTGGACATAAGCCAAACTATTTGTAGCAACACAAAACTGAAAACAAAATAGCTTCACCTTAATAGGGTGAGTTGAGCTGTAGTAACCAAACATAATGGAATACTATTGTACAGTAAAGAAACACAGAATATGAGGAACTCAGAGAAACATGAAAGACCTGCATGAACAGATGCAGGGAGAAATAAGCACAACTAGAAGGGTATTCACCATGATTTCAGAATAAACAAAAACAGCACGACAAAGCAGATAAACTAATTGCTGTGACCAATCTCAATCCCAGAGAACATAGATGAAATACACTACCTTCTAAGTAATGAGGTGGGGGAATACAGGAAATGAAGGGTGCATGCGCTGTCTAGTAATTCTTAAATTTGGTTTATGTTAACTTTTTCTTTGTGATGAGGGAGTGCTGAGTCACAGTGGTTTGGATAAATGACTATGGTATAAAAAACAAAAGGCATCAATCAAATGTTTAAAAACACCTGCATGAGGAAGTTGAATCCTTCAAAATCAGTTTCCCCAAAGTTCACATAAAGGAATGGAATAAAGTCTCATTACCTGATGTGGAACAATGAAAACCAAAGCTGATATCATTTCTCATAAACGAAGAGAAGGAAGAGGAAGAATTACAGGTGAAATGATGGCTAACCTTTCAGGAAAATTCTTCAACATTATGGTAGTCCATCAAGTAATATCTACTGAAACTGCACAAAATGACAGTAAGTCATCATACATACGGAAGCATTTACTGTGTAAGTCTTACTCACTTTTCTCCCAGCCTTTAAAACCATCAACTTCATGTGGGACAAGGGTAGTAGAAGAATGCTACTGAAAATCTAAGAATAAAATATTGAATTGCACCAAAATTTCAGTGAAGAGCTTCCAGAAGGGGGGAAAAAGTATGAGACAAAAAGTTGAAAATGTGCAAAAGCACAAAGACCCCAAATGTTTCAATTTTGTTGTGAGAATACTACCCAGTTTACTTTCACATCTTTAGCTAAAAATACTTCTAACATTAGCCTATAGTCAAGTTCTCCGTATTTGCAATTTCGGAATAGGTAACAACTTGAAATTGTTCCTATTCTAGAATATAAATTAATATGATTGCAATTAATCATACCTACACTAATTTTGAAACTGTGATTTGCTATATAATAATTCTGAATACTTATTAGAAACATTTCTCTTTACTAGTATTTTAACACTTTTTTCCTTCAAGCTAATTGCTCTGCTAAGTACTAAGACAACATTTCAGTGTTATCTACACAGGTAATTTCTTCTCCACAAATATCTGCTGCTAATTGTGATATGTAAAGCAACTATAAAAATGGAATGGGCATCAGGGAAAATGATAAACTCCATGCAAAAGCTATACTGCTCATTGAGGTGAAATGGAAATTACATTTCAGAATGTAGACAGGACTTAGCAATTTTGAAATGTAAATTTAAATCACCACTAGTAACTATTTAAGAGATGAAATATCTCATCACAGAACCTAACAGAGCTAATTCTTAAAATTACAAGCCATTCTAATTCTTCATTTTCAAACCAAGTAGATTTGTTTCTCTAAATTAAAATTGAACAGAAGCCATAAACAGTAAATTTTAAAACAACAAAACCAAACCAGCTGGCTCTTTATACTCTCTGTTTACAACATATGCTATGAATCACAAAAAGAAATATAACATAATAACCATCTTACAAAAAGAAATTCAAACCTTTTCAACTTTTAAATTATGGACCAAAATAAAGATAACACTGTATGTTTAAAAGTTCAAGTTCAGTATGATGCAAAAAACAAGGAGAGTCCACTGCCACCTCATTCAGTGGAAAGCTGGCTTGTAGCAGAGCAAATACAGTAAATTTGTGGTCCTCATTTTGTTTGTTATGATGGCCCAGTCCCAATGACAGACTGCTATCAAAGGCCCCCACCTAGCTCAGAAAGAGAAAGGCCCAATGCTAACAGGTTAGGTACTAGTTTAGGAATTATTTGACCAGGGCAGACCCATAAAACAAAGAAAAGTACGAGATGGGCCTGAGGCTATTCTGTTCTGTAGGGCTGGTAATGGAAAGGAAGGCAGTGAACAAAGGGTGCAGAGATCCCACAGTTTTTACACCATCTATAAACACTGATTTAACTGTTAGTAATCATGAAAAAGACACGAAGAAACTATACAATTGGAACAGCTTCAACTCAGTCTATTCAAACCAACTGTCAATTCTGAAAAACCAGAAATGCACAGAGGAAAATACAGTGTCACTGATCTGCACTGTTTCTTACAGAAGTTTAATCAAGAGAAAGCAAATCACTACAATGAGACAGGGTAAAGGTTCTACCTCAGTCTACAAACACTCTTGATCTTGTCAAATTGAGAGGACATGACAGAGAGAGGCAAAGAAAGTTTAGAATATAGACTTGCCTGAAAAACAGAGGACGGACAGAAGAACATTATGAGCAGATCTGTCTCCCCAAATAGTGAATAGGTGGAGGGGGTGAGAGGAAAATAAATCACAGAAACCTTGGTATAAGACCTAAGATCTTCCCAAGAATTCAAGATGTAGAATGAGATATACACTTTTGGATATGGACAACGTGGGAATTCATTTTGCTTAATTTTACATATACATTACGAGAGCTATTTTTTTCTTTTGAATTGAGAGAAAGGAAGTGGGAGATGAAATAAATGCTTGTTAATTGAAAAATAAGGTAAAATGAAAAGAACTTTATCATGGCGAAAGTATTTTGAGCTGAAGCTGAAAGGACAAGTGGAAATTTGCCAATATTTCTATAGCTATTTATTTTTATCCTTAATAACAAATGAACACATTTTGGCCCCAAGGATCTATGAGCTTATCCACGAAGGTGGCAGTCAAGAATCATTAAATTTTCAAGGTCATCGAGTCTAACACATACCTCAAAAGAAATCCCCACTATAACATACTTGATAAGCAGTTATTTGGTCTCTGCCCAAAGACTGCCAATATCAGAAAAACCACCACCTCTCGACAATCCATTTGGCTTGTGGTAGGTAGAGAGAGCTCTGTTAAGAGTTTTCCTAACACCAAGCCAAGCCTAAAATCTGCCTTTTTGCAACCTGCACAAATTTCTCCTGCTTTTCCCTGGAAGGCAAAGCAGAACAAAGTCCAATCCCTCTTTTCCGTGACAATCCTTAAAGCACTTGAGAGAAGCCATCAAGCTCCCCAAATCTTCTCTTCTCCAGGCTAAGCTGATCCAATTCTTTCGACTGAACTTCCTACGTTAGGAGTCCGAGGTCCTTTGCCCTGATCTAGACTCTGTCTAGTCTATGTCTGTCCAAAACAATGACGCAATGAAATGAAAACGATATTCTCCACGTGTTCTGAGCAAAGAAGTGCTTAGAGAGCCTATGACTTTATTCCTGCAAATGGACTCAGGGTAGCTCAAGACTGGATTTGTTGTTTTGAATGCTGTATCACACAGCCAACGCAACGTGCGCTAAAACACTTGGATTTTTTTTAACATAAATTTCTAACACTACTCTGTCTCATGATCTTGGTCAAATACATATAAAAGAAATCCACTTAAGGCAAAGCAATTTTGAAAAGATGGAGAAATTAATTTTCAAGATATCTAAAGTATGAAGCCAAATGATTAGAAACATTACAAACGGTATTGTTTTCAAAAAGGCAGAATAAGAGGATAACAGGTAATCATCTCATCCTCTATGAAAAGGAGAAGAAAAGAAGTGGTTTTCATGAACAATGTTTCTTTCAGTAAAAACTGACTGGAAAGTGAACACAAAATTCCTCGAGAGGCCCCTGAGGCCACAGATCTGGGGGTGGAAAGGACCTCAAAAGCCACCAACTCCAGCCCCCTCATGTGACAGGAAAGGAAACTGCAGCCTGGAAGTATTAACCCACTTTCCCAATCAGGGGCTCCCTACCCCAAAATGCAGCTTTGAAAGGTTCTCCTCAAAAAGGGTGTCTTCTCTCTAAAGCATGTGGTAGTAACATACAAGAGTCCCTGGTAACTATAACTAGAGAATTTCATTCAATGATTTTTGGATTATTAATGTCAAGCAAGACATAAAACAAGAAGATGAATGGTTGCCAAAGTATTTGTCTCTGCTTTGGGGCAACTCCTGCATGAAGTTTAGACAAAGAGAGAGATTCTACTGACAAAAGAGAGAGATTCTATTGACAGTAGTCAGTAGTCATCCAGATAGTCCTGTCTGCAGATGACACACTGATTGTCTGCAGCTCCAGACCATACAAGGCCTTTTCAATGAGATCCACAGGCATCTGAATGATCAGCAAAGCAAAACACACAGGAAAAACTGTGTAGACAGGGACACAGAAGTGAAAAAGAAACCCACTCAGTGAGT